AAGAATAAGTTCTAGAGAGAGGAGCTCTAAATTTAGGGTTTTGAAATGTCTAGAGAGAGAGAGAGATGAAAAAGTGACTTTTACGAATTGATGTACACACAGTCCGCTCGAGTGTAAGAAGTGACACTCGAGCGTCCAGACGCAAAAATAATTACTGCTCGAGCGCAGAAAGTGACGCTCGAGCGTCAAGACACAATGAAAAAGGTATCACCGCTCGAGAGCAAGAAGTGACGCTCGAGCGTAGAATACACACGCCTAGTAATTTTACAGACAGAAGGCCAATGCTAGAGCGCAAAAAGAGCCACTCGAGCGCAATATCGCTCGAGTGAAGAATAACAAGTCCTAGTAGTTTTACAGACCTGCAAAAGTACTAAGAGTTCACAAAGACCGCTCGAGCGTAGAAGCAAAATTCTGGGCAATAAGGTTTTTGAAAAACAAGGTACCAACCTATTCCAAACACAACCAACAAATACTAATAGCCAAACTCAAGAAGGGAAAAGAGAAGTAAGACATGAATAACAATACAAAACCATGAAACCCGAGTCCAAAATATCAAATAGGTTGGGTCTAAACCAGAATCGCTATAAATGAGTTTGGCAACTTGAATCTAGTTGCTTTCAGTTTGCTTTTTTTATTTTTTATTGTTTGCTGTAATAATCTTCCTTGTGTGGAGGTTGTGTCCTTCCTTTGTGAGGGTTTTTTCTCCTCTTATATGGAGGTTAGGATTCTTCTTCCTATGAAAGTTTGTTATCTTTTATAAGATCTTTTGCTACCGCTGTACAAGATTAATATGATTTTTTATTGATTTTGCAATGAAGATTTTTTTCCCGATCTAAAAAAATATATATGTTATTATTATATTATTTTTGTAATTTGATTAAAATCTGCCTTATAATGATTTCAATTTTTAAAAATATATTTATACATATATATAATATGTATATAACAAAGGGTCTTGCTAACAAGTGCATTTAGGGTGCAAATAAAAAATAAAAAATTTAAGAAGTACAAGACATTTTTTTATTAAATTCAATATGTTTTTGCTGAAATCAATACACTTTCTAAGATTTTTACATATTTTCAAGAAATTTTTTACACCCTTTCTAATATTAAACAATGCTCATGAATGGTTGATAATAAATTCTTATGCTGTGTTTGGTTGGAGAATTTGGGGAGGGATTTGGAAAGGGAAATAGAAAAAGTAGGTGAAATGTGAATAATATATATATATATATATATATTTCACATAGTTTCACACACATTTTCCCTTTCATTTTTCAAATCTCTCCCCAAATTCTACAACCAAACACACCATTAGGGTATTTCAATGAATTTGATAAGAGAAATTTGAACACTCAATTTCTTGTCTGGTGTCGCCACCGTCGAGGAAAAATAGAAAGAGTGATAGCTACTGTCAATATTATTTTTCTTAATCAATAAAAGAAGAATCTTTATTGATGAAGATTAAAATACAATAATAAAGATATATATCAATAAAGAAGAATAATACACAAATTATCACAGCAAAACTTAATAATTCCAATCATATTGACATTCAAAATCAGTCACAATCGTTTGTGTGGTTCTCATTAATGCAATGAGAGTAGTAATGTGAGACTAGTTTTTGTTTGGGTTACTGAAATAGTTGTAAGTATAGCACATTGTCAAAGTTGGTCGGCCGCACTTGTAATTATTTATAATAATTATGTAAAGGCAACAACGTAAATTACTTTTTATTTATTGAGACTCAGATTCTATTGTGTATTGGTGCTATGCATTAGACGTTGGTTTGAGATGTGGATTAATTTTTTAATTTTTTAATTTTTTAATTATTTTAGTTTCTGGTTAAAAAATTTTGTTTAAGATAAATTTTTAATTTTTATGAGAAAAAAAAATAAAATAATTATGGTTTAAATATGATGTTTTGTCTTATTAATTTTTTATTTTAGCTCAGGCTTTTTATGCCAAACATAGCATTAACCGATGCAAAATTATCTTGTGTACTTAAAAAGAAAAATTCATGCAGTATTTTACAATATTTTTTAATTGTTAAATCCGTGAAAATTTACATTTTGGTGTTATCTTAAGAAAGAACATGACAAATGTCATATAATAAAAAATGTGAAGTATTGATTCAGGATTCATTTGGTAATGATTTTTTTAGTTGATTTTAGCTTGGGACTTTTTTTTTTTATTTGGTTTTCTTGTATGGCTTTTCTGACTTTTTTGCATTGGAAATGATGTTTCCAAAGTAAAATGACAAAATTACCCTCCACTTGGAAATGATGTTGTTTTGACTTTTTGTTTGTATATCAGTCAATTTGATAATTTTACATCTCAGCTCAAGTGTTTTGACATTTTATGATTTTTTAACTTTTTTTTATCCATTTATGATTATTTAACCCCACAACAAATGGCATGCTCAATACCATCATCACATAATCTCTTGAAAAATGAGGTGTAATATTCATTTTTGACATGTCATCTGTTACATTTTTGTCAAAATAATAGCAACATGCTCTATGTGCATGAAGTTTCCACTAGAAACAAAATGTACTTTCATTAATTGGCCGTATTATGAATACAAAAAGTGTTTTATAGAGAGTTGTATAGATAGCATCCGTAGACCCACATTTTTGTTTTTGTGAAAATTTCTTGTGCACTTAAATTTACTTTTTGTATATATATAAAGCAAAATGCTCGAAACACTTTTTATAGTTGTCATTAGTGTTAAAAAAATGTACAAATTATGAGTGTTTAGAAACTCAAAAATTAGTTTTTTTTAACTAAAACTTACAAAAAGACAAAATAAATTAAAATAATCAATAAAACAAAATATCACATCAAATTTGAAACCATTTTATTTTTTCTTACAAATATCTCATCCAACTATAAAAAAAAATTCAATCATCTTCTCAAACACAAATATTTGAATCTATTAAAATAGCTAAAAACTATGGTTGTGTTTGGTAGAACTTTATAACTATAATTTGAGAGTATAAGTTATATTTTGAGTTTGTAAGGTTTGAAATTATGATTTGAGTGTGAAAATTTTGTTTGATGAAAGAGTTTTGAAAATAATTATGAATTGAGTGAAAAAAATTTGATGTGACATTTAATATTTGATACAAAAATTTACAACTCAACCAAATATACAACTCAAAATTATTTTATAGCACATAAAATTTTTTAAAGAATTCAGAAAATATTTTTTTCGAATATATAAAAATTAACATACCAAAAAAGGAAAAAAAAAAATCACTGGTCCAGTCAACCAGCCGGACGACCGATTAGGCCAAATTTCAAAAAAAAAAAAATTTGAAAATCGCGCTCTGTTTGACAGAGAAACAGAGCTTTGTGTAGAGTTGTAGAAAATTAATTTCACAACTCTATCCAAACATCATACTCAAACTACCAAGTGGAAAACTAGTTTGAAAACAGTTCCAAACAGAGCCTAAAATAGCCAACTTCCCAAACGAGGCATATATATAAGATGTATAATTTTTGTTTAAAAAAAAATTATAAATATTTTAATATTAAATAATTTTTATTGACAATATTATCACGACCCACTTATTAGTAAAGATTGAGATGATAGCATCTCTGCCTGTCCCACGAGATGACGTGTTCTTCCTGGGCTCATCCCAACTGCTAAAACGTATACATACATATATATATATATATATCAGTGAGTTTGTAAATGTGGCAATCAAGGAAAATAATTTATCTAAGCGAAATATTACCAGCAAAAACCAGTTCCTCCATGCAAGGTATTTCCAAATACAATTGGACAACAACAGGCCTAATGTATTACCACAAACAGTAAAAGCAGTAAATATTAATTGTGGAAATACAGAAAGATTAGGCAGCCAATACCAATTCCCACTTGAAAAAACAAAACATCCACAAGTTCACAAATTGGCCTACTTATTAGCACACTTTATATACCTCCCCACTTCTCCCAAAAATCCCATCAGAAGAAAATGGAATTTGAACCCAATTACTCATCAAAACACGCAGCCAATAACCCCCCCTCCCACTCCCAAAAACGGGGATTTCTCCAGAGTGGCCCAAGAGTCATCTGCAAACCTAAATGAGTTTGCAAAGTAAATTATAAATCTGAGCTTAAATCAAAAGTACTCTCACCCAAAACTCCTCTCTAAGTCCTCTTTCAAGCAAACACAAGCACATCAAAAATGAAGGAAAAGAAAAAGAAAATCTTATCTACATCAGTGACACACAGAAAGAGGAGGATAAATAGCCTTTGGGCAAAAAGAGCACCACATAACGAGCTGAAACATCATCCGGTATCTTCTCCGATGACGGCCCACAAAGCTTGTGCAGCAACAAAACAATTCCCACTTCTTAATCTCTACACAACTTAACGCAATCTTCAAAATAAGTTAGAGGCAGCATAGAAATCAAATTCCATAGAACCTTGAAATATGCCAATGTGCACAATGTAACAGACATTTTGCTTTTGTGTCAAATATCCGTAGTGAATATACTTCTATGCCATCAGTAAGATTCAGACCCTCCGTTCACCCAAAAAAAAAAAAACCATTCAAACCCTCCCATTCTATTCCAGCAATCTTTCCAATACTAGCCCACTCTTCTCAAGGCCCAACCAAACAACCAATGCAAGCTTCAAAAATATAAGTATGTCATAGAACTTAAAGGGTTCAGCAAACAGTAGACTTCCATCATAATGCTTCAAAGATGTTTTAAAAATGCAGGTACACAAAGGTGAAGTTCTAATCCTATATATAGAATTTTTCTTCTAGTTTGATAAACTAACTCCCCCACCCCCCCCCCCCCCCCCCAAAAAAAAAAAATAAATAAATAAAAAATAAAAGAGGGAATGCTGCTTAAGGCAAGCACAATGCAGAACTAATAGAATGATAGATAGGATGATCAGCAAGTAATGTATGAATCAGTAATCACTGTTCCCGAAAGAAACAAAATTGGAGCTTATCACGATTGCCATCTGAAAGAGAAGGTTAAAAATGTCAACGACATCAATGTCAATTAACACAGCTTAGTAGCCTAAGCTTTGATATACAAAAGAATATATATGTCACGAGCATTTTCTGGTCAGTGAAGAAAGTTGTACAAGCAAAATCCAGGGAAAGTAAGAGTGCTGTAAAAGTTTACAAAGTTAGAAGAATAATGCAACAATGACCATCTATTTCTACCATATTATCTTACCATATGATGTGTCAGCCTAACTGTCAACATTGCATTAGAGATATACATAAATGATGACAAACAAGATGATAAGCATAATATATGGTATAAATATGTTGACAAACAAGATGATAAGCATAATATATGGTATAAATATGTGGTAAGCTTAGCAATATTGAAGTTAGATAAACTAAATCCAGAAAGCTCAAAACAAACTTTCCACCAGGTAAATCTGCAGTTGTGCCATTTCGTTTGTTTGGTTTACCATAATGAACTAAAAGTTAAATGTGATAAATACTGGTATAAAAATTATATAATCAAAATACTTATAAGCATAAAGATGCTGTAAATGCTTAGTAATACAAATAAGCATCACCACTTTACGCAAGCACTCATAAATCAGATTACAATTCACAAAATGCAATGAATAAAATGATGCATAGCATAGAAACATGAGTCCTAAAAGTTGATGTACTTCTTGGTTATGATTAAGTAGTTTACAACTCACACAAACCAAGTGCATGTCAATCAATGAAGCACAGGTACGGGTACAAGTATTAATACTGGTACGATATGGGTACGTTGATACCTAGGAAGCACGGATACGGATACGGGATACGGATAGGATACGATACGGATACGGCGATACGACAAAATTTGAAAAACTAGGATACGGGTACGGCGGGGATACGTTTGTAAAAAATATTATTTTAACAATTTTTAGTAATGCAGTATGCATAAAAATAAAACCTAAAGCAAAAGACAACTTGATAAAGAAGAAAGATTCCTATAAAACTAAGAGTCTTCAAGGTCAATAGTTTCAACTTGTTCCCCTTCATCATTGAATATCACAAGACCTTAGCTAAACCCAAAAAACCATTCTTAAATAAAAATTTCAGCAAATATACTTTTTTAAGTCATCAATGATAGCTTAGGAAACACGGATACGAATATGGTGATATGGGGATGTGGATATGGCGATATGTCAAAATTTGAAAAACTACGATACGGGTACAGCGGGGATACATTCATAATTTTTTTTTTTTATATAATTTTAATAATGTAATATGCATGAAAATAAAACTTAAAGTAAATTAATAAATAAGGAGAGGGATTCCTATTAACCTAAAAGTGCTCAAACATTCATAAAACATCCAAAACTAAAAGCAAAAGCGTGAAAAAGTGAGAGAGTGAAAAAGTGAGAGAGAAGTGAGAGAAGAAACGTGAGAGTAGAGAGAAGAAACGTGAGAGAGTGAAAAAGTGAGAGAGAAGTGAGAGAGACAACAAGGATACATCAATTTGACAAATTCTTTTACTTTAACTCTCACTATATTCCTCTTATCCAAGAACTAAACAAAATATTATAAGTAATATAGAACTTCGAGTATCCGATACTTCAAAATTAAGTATCCGATACTTCAAAATTAATAAAAAATTAATTAAGAAGTATCTGATACTTTTAAGAAGTATCTGATACGTATCCGCGAGTATCCGAGGAGTATCGGTATCCGATAAGTATCCGATACGGATGCGTCACCCCTTTTGAAGTATCCGTGCTTCATAGGTTGATACGGTAAAATCCAAAAAAAAAAAAAAAAAGTACAGATACAGTTTGATACATTTATAAAAAAAAAAAATTATTTTTTATTTAGAGTAATGCAAAAACTAATTAAATAGTTTAATTTTGTAAGATCCAATCTACAATTAACATTCAATGTCAAAAATAAAAGTATAAATCAAAATTAAATATCATTATATTAAATAACTTACAAACCATAACTTATTATTAAAATCATGCTAAACATAAAACTAAAAATAAAAAATAAGTCTAGTGCAATGAATTTTATCTTTATAGTGGAAGAAAATACTGTTTCGACTGAGGTATGGTATAGTTTGGGTATATACTAGATACATCTAGGTACACCAAAAATTAAGAGGAAAAAAAAAAAATTGAGTACGTATTTCTTATACCTAGTAAGTATGCAGAAGTATCATATGAAATACCATATGAACCCCTTTCATTGGGACCCCCTTAACAACAGCAATTGAGCAAACATGTCCAAATACATGTAATAAGTCGATGCATATATATAACTTGTTTCCAACAACTAAATAATTAGAGAAATGCAACACTAATCTAAAAATGAAAAACATGAGTCATTTGGTTGCATTACATGAAACTACTTTTGTTTCTAGAAAACAGGAAACAAGTTATTGTTTATTTCTTGGAGTTTGAAGTGGAAAAGGGTATCTGTTTACTCATCCATAACAAGTGAAAACAACTTTTTTGTGTAATCATTTTTAGTTGTGTTTTCAAAATTTTGAAAAACAAAAACACAAATACATTAAATGAAACACGATAAATTCAAGATGTGCAGAAGTTAGAACTTGGGATTGGGACAACTACATGCGTAAGGACAAACTTGTAAATCCAATTCAAGCTTTCTTCTATAGATTCTGTTGAAATAAAAGCATGTTTGTAGATAAATTTGTTTGGTTAAAATTTAAAAATGCAATTTGTAACAAATTCAAAATACCCAAGCAATGTTTTCTAAAGAAAGCAGCTCCAATCAGTCAATGGAGGCTAACAATTTCTTAGACATTCCACCATTCCTTTTTATACCTTTCTCTTGTCCTAACACCAGGCTTCAATCTGCAGCATATCACTCCTTACCAATCATTTTTGGACCCAGATCAATGAAGTCAAATAAATAAAAAACTAGGCTCATTTTGCAGGTATATTTCAAATTTTGATCCCCTAGTAGGAGCACACCAGAGGCTTAGACCACATTCCCCAGTAAAGAGAATCAATTTTGGGTCTCCCTAACTTATCAAAAAGTATTTCAAAACTTAAACAATAGTCCATTGGACAATTTGTGAAGACCTCAAATTTCAAGGACACCTCAACACAACACCGCAAAAGCCAATCATTGCAAATATAGTTCTCTGACCTGCCACATATAAGCTAGAAAGGTCATCAGAGTAAGAACGTAAAAGCTAACCAGTCATATATGATAAACATGAGTAAATACATAATCACTATCACATACCCCCAGCACCTTCAGGGGAATGATGAACTGATGCATCTGACTGCTTCAGGCCCATTGCAACTAGGATGACTTAAAAAAATTGTCACAGTGAAAACCAACACTCGATTAAAACAGAAAGCAAGTAACAAGATAGTTAACAAACACAAGAAGTCCAATGAAATAGAACAACACAAACGTTAGTAGCAGCCACCAATAAACTCAGACAAACTAACCTCTGAATAAAATAATAGAAACCAGACGCTGTATAGGCAGCAATGACCACCCAAATGATGAAATCAAATCCTACATAAATGCACTGAATATTGAGAAGCTTCCGAATGACTACTCCAACATAAGACTCAATGAACTGAACATTTAAGCCATGTCTCTGCAAATGTAATAACAGTACAGCTAGGTTAAAGATGTGAGTCCCAAACTTCCAACAAGAAGTCATGGCAAGAGGTAAGTAATCAGGTTCACTAGTGCTCCAAGAAAGCCTGTCAAAAATATTGCAATAGTAACAAAGAAATATGTTAAGAAATGTGAAAACAATTTTAAAAAACAATGCAGTAAAAAAGTGAACAGTGACATATTTTTCTTTCTTAGAAAGGAATTTTTTGGGAACAGAAGGAAGGATGTGAAGGATGACCACTTCAAGAAACAGGACAAGCTGCGAACTGTTAACACGGATATGTATACCCAGGCAGGAAGCACCTGTGCAATAAGGCTTACAAAAAATATATGAAGGAAACAACACGATATGCAAACTAAAATTTATTGGGGCCAAAGTATAAGCAACAGAGAAAAACTCAAGTCTACAGAATGCTAATTTTGCATTAAGCTAAATATGATTAAAACAAACATTGGAAGCCATATAGTTGCATAAAACAAATTGCATAGAAGTACCAAAGATATAATGAAAAATTCAAATGCAAAAGGAATATTCTATATCCACATACATTCCACACTTCTTTTTATCATAAATCCTTGTGTGCAGATAGCTGCAGGGAAAAATGTTAAGAATCCGTAACACCTAAACAGGATTGGTAAGACACGAAAAACAAAGAAGAACAAACGCACAAAAATGATAAATCACATGCACACAAAAAGAAAACAAAGTTTACATAGTTCCCCCAAAAACTAGGGCTAAATCCGCAACTGCTGCAGTTTTCACACTGATAAGAAAGGTAGTGCGCGCGCACACACGCACACGCACACACAATATATATATATATATAGAGAGAGAGAGAGAGAGAGTAGAAATCTTCATTTTGATCAAACAGGATCTGAATTTGCTGACCTCACAAGCTCAAGAACAAACAAAAACTACATTACTTTTACAGCTACAATTTATAGGAATGAGAAGGTAGTACACGTGGAAAGCAAAAGGACAGATTTGGTGTCTTTAAAATAAAAATTCTGATGTTTAACCTCATATGGGCGTAAATGCAAATCTATTGCCCTCCCTCCATTCTTCTCTCTAATTTGAAATTTTTTCCTTTCATCGATCTATATCTTGAAATAAATTTTGATGTTTCTTTTCAAGAGTTGATGGCAAAAAAGTTAAAAGAGAAACAGAAAGAAGAACAAACGCACAAAAATGATAAATCACGCACACACAAAAAGAAAACAAAGTCTACATAGTTCCCCCAAAAACTAGGGCTAAATCTGCGACTGCAACAGTTTTCACACTAATAAGAAAGGTTACAACGCGCGCGCGCGCGCACACACACACACACACATATATATATAGAGAGGGAGAGAGAGAGAGAAGAAATCTTCATTTTGATCAAACAGGATCTGAATTTGCTGACCTCACAAGCTCAAGAACAAACAAAAACTACATTATTTTTACAGCAACAATTTATAGGTATGAGAAGGTAGTACATGTGGAAAACAAAAGGACAGATTTCATGTCTTTAAAATAAAAATTCTGAAGTTTAACCTCATACGGGTGTAAATGCAAATCTATTGCCCTCCCTCCATTCTTCTCTCTAATTTGAAATATTTTCCTTTCATCGATCTATATCTTGAAATAAATTTTGATGTTTCTTTTCAAGAGTTGATGGCAAAAAAGTTAAAAGAGAAATTATTCAGTAAATCACAGAAGACATCATCAACCTAAGTTCAATTGTTTTGTAGAAAAAACCCTACACAAAATCCTACAACATACAGCAGTTCTTGCTCCAATCAGCTCCAGATGGTACGCTATGTGACGTTTATGCGTGCAAGGAAACACCAAAACACTATCAAATATACAAAGGAAATCGGACATTTAAAAACAAGAAAAAGAAATTGAAGCAGCCAAAACAGTTGGATCTCACAAATTGTAAAATATTAAATATCTCATAAATTGAGGATGTTACAAGTTGACCTGTAATGTGGGGATCGCTGGTGCAGAAATTGACCCTACTTGATCACTGATCAAATTGAACATGTTAGGCAAAAACCATATCAATTTCAAATGGATCAATGGGGTTAAACAGTTTACTGGTACAATAATCTAGCTCACTTTAAAAAAGTTTAAAGCAATGATATAGCTAATGGGAATGATTATAATGAACACATACTAGGGATTTTACCTAATCCTTAATCAACCTACAAATACGTTAGTTCCTGGAAGTTTCTGGTTGTTTACATAAATGTCACCATAAAATTCAAAAAAGCACTCCTTTGGCAGATGTTTTAGGTACTTTTAAATCCAACAAGAACGGTACAAATAATCAAAGATTCATTGCCACAGATCACCAACTATTGTCAGTGTAATATCTACAACAAGATCTTTATAGAAAATAAAATAAAATAGCAAAAGGGAGGTGAGTGATGCCACAAAAATGAAACTTCTATAAAACTAGAGGTTGAAGGATTCTCACAGGGCAGGGTATTCGCTAACTGGGGATAAATGAGTACACCCTCCACTGCATATGTTAGTGCCCTACTCACCAAACCCTCAAAGGAGTGACTTGTCTAAAGTTTTTAAAATTTTGCACAAAATTCAACACCATGAGGGCTACAAACCAGTTAAAAACAGGCTGCTCATAAATGACCAAACAAGGACCTAATTTCGAAGAGTATTATGCATATCATCAGCAGATGCAAATAAATAGAACTGTCAACTGTTTGACAAACCAAATTCTCTATAATTAAACAAAATATATATATATATATATGGGCAATGATATAAAAATAAGGATTAGAATGCAGCATTCTTACCTGTAAACCCAGATGTGGTACTGACAAAGCCACACTATTTCATCTCGGCCATGAATTTCTCATACTCTGCATCTGTACCATAGGTTGCCTTCTCATCAAATGAAACAGGAGGAGGCATAGGAGGATTTGTGGCCCAGGGCACATTTCCAATTTTCTGTGAATGGTCCACTACTGGTTGAGAGACAGGAGGAGGAGGTGGTTGTTGAGGGGTTACACCATAGTAAGATGGGTAACCAAAAGAAGTTGGGTACACAGGTTGAACAGTTGGGGGCACCACAGCTACAGAGTTCCCATAGATATTGGCAGGAGCAGTTTGAACAGGTGTGGTACTTTGAGATTGAATTCCAGGTGGGTAATTTTGTTGTGCTGCACTAGAAGGCAGAGTCTGTGATGGGGCACCAGAAGAAACTGTCATTGTTGGAGGATACTGTACTCCATAAGGAGGCACAGGTTGACCAGGGACAGGAGTATACATGGTTGAGCCTGGAGGAGGAGGGTAAGGAGCATAAGGAGGAGGTACAGGTGGTCCCCATGGAACTGGAGAGACAGCATAACTCCCAGGAGGTGTATTTCCAATGGAACCACCTTGCGTAAACTGCTGTGATGGATAGGCACCAACAGCCTGGTTGGGAGCAGGATGAATAGGCAAAACCGGAGTGGGAGGGCCCGGAAGGACAGCAGGCTGGGGGGGCTTACCAGCAACTCTCACAGCTATCGTTCTTCCATCTAGATGATGACCATTCATACTAGTAATAGCATTAATGGCCTGTTGCATATCAGAATACTTCACAAAACCATAACCCTTGCTCAATCCCGTAACTCGGTCCTTAATAACCTTCGCCACCACTATATCACCATAAGGTGAAAACAATCTGATCAAACCACCATCGTCAAGAGTAGGTGGCAAGTAGCCGATGTATAAATTTGTATCATCATATTCCTTTGCAGGCTTAATTCCGTTGGCCCCTAAGCCTGCCTGAGTTGTCCCACCAACACCTCCAGCACTGTTACCACTTGCCCAAGGAGGATTGCTTCCTGAGCTGCCCGAACCAAGGGCCAGTGTTGCAGAGCTTTGTTTGGTTACAGAATCAGGGATCGTTCCTCCTAGCTCTGCCAAAAAGTTCTGATATTCATCATCCATTTTCTTTCCAGTTGTTCCTTTCACCGGACAATCAATAGTTGGGTGTCCACCATCACCACATATTTTACAAAGAACATCACTCTTGAAAGTTGAAAAACGAGAAGGACAAGCAAATTGTCTGTGGCCTGGCTCACCACATAATCTACAATACTCCTCATCTCTTATAGTTCCGTTCAAAGCAGCAAGTTCCCTGAGCTGTTGCCTCTTGTGCTCATTGAGAACTTCATCAACGGGCTGTAAGAGCTTCTCCACCATGCCTGCTGCAGCTTCGAGGGATTCCTGTGTCTCAGCTTCCACCAAGACATGTAAATCCTCATTCTCTGAAGGGTCTGGTTTCAAATCCTTCTTTTGTTGCAACCTACCTTCTTTCACCGACCCTTTACCCCGGATCACAATTTTTGCTCCAGTCTCTCTTTCCATTCTCTTCTGTGTATTCCCCCTAGGCCCAATAATAAGTCCTATAAAATTATAACCCGGGTATTCTTTCATTGGTATGTAAAGTTTCTTATGAAGTTTCGGAGGCCGGTAATCAGCTGGGGGCTTAAATGCAGGGTTCTTTTTAATTATTTGTGAAATAATTTCTTGTCTCTCTCTATTCAATCTTTCACGGGCACGATATTCCCTAGTGTTAATTCGTATTCCCATGTTATCATATACGGGTTCGGGCGAAGGTGACCGAGCACCTTCAGGCCGGTCATCTAAAGGTAACCCAGATTGCAATTTTCTACTAATCTCAAGAAGCCTACTATTAAGTGATTGAATTTCAGGGTCAAACTCAATACCTCCAGTGAAATCTTTCATGAAATCAGGAAGCTGAATTACCGGCTTCGGATCATCGTCAGCCCACCGGGACTTCCTCTTCCTGCCAGTCCCACCGCCGTCGCTGCCAGCCCCTTCGTTTGATTCGCTCGGAGGAGGATCCCACCGGCTTCGCCGCGTACGCCTACTGGTTGTTTCCTCTTCCCCTCCTGAGTAGTCTCTGTCTGTGCCACTGTGTGTGTTGGTTAAACCATTTTCAGACAACAATGTCTTGTGAATTTCAGGTTTCGAGGAATTATCAATCTGAGTACCCCCAACACACCCGTTTTCAAGCTTTTGATTATCAGGAGCTAGGGCTTGAGCAGAACTTGCATCCGAACCCAGGGTTTTCGGCATCAAATTCTGATTCTGATAATCTGAACCTAAAATCTCTCGAGTATGGTCATTCGAATCCAGTGATTTCTCTAGGGCTTCTGATTTTCTTTGCCCATACGAATCTAGGGTTTGTTGATCGTAGGAATTTTGGTTATACGAAACTAGGGTTTCGGGCGAGTTTTGAAGTGGGTTTTGCGAGGGAGGTTCGAATTGGGATTGCGATTCCATGAGATATGATTCAAGAGAATCCACAAGCTCCTGCGATGTTTAGGGTAGACTCATAAAAACCCTAAACACAACACAAGGGTGACAAAGGTTCGAAGATCTTGTTGAGGAAGACAATATATATGTGTATTTTATATAATTTTAATTTTATTAAATTGAATAAAAAATAAATAATTAACGGTTTTATTAATTTAAAATTTTTAATAAATTTTAAAATATATTTAAATTTAATTTATTTATTTAAATAATCGAGTTCGAACGAATTTTCAACACGCGAGTCGAGAGCTATCTTCTCTCGGTGATGGAGAGCAAAGCCGTGTCGAAGAAGAATCTAGAGTTTACATTTTCGATCTGGTTCTGGGCTTGAAAAGTACGGTTGTTTTTGTTGTTAAGGAATTGTGGGCCAGTTTTATGAGTTCCAAAAATCTGATTCTAGTTTGGGCCAAGGAAAAGGCTTGGGTAGGATTTTGAATCAATATGGATTGGGCTTGATTTGGGGTGGCATGGGTCGGATGGTGACGCTCAACTCAATTTAATATTTTTAAAATTTATAAAAAATTATTTAATCTAAAAGAGTATCTTTAAAGTATTAGGCATATAAGAGCATCTCTAGTAAGGGCAAGTTTGGGATCTTTCAAAAAAGATAAAAAAATAAAAAGTTACTTAAAAAGTTAAAAAGTTAATACTATTCACCAAAAGTCAACAATTACGGCTGCACAACTCCCAATTCGAATTTTTCCCTATTTCCTTATAAATCAATTTTTACAATTTTTTATTACACATTTTTCAATAAAAAGTCAAAAAGTTAACCCAAACATCTATATTTTCAACCTCAATTTTTTAGTCTAAAAAGACAAAAAGTGCACTTATTTAGGACACCCCAAACAACCCCTAAGGATAGTTAAAATAATTATTCAAAATTTTACTTTACTATTTTAGCTAGTCATTTTTTAATATACACTCCAACAAGACTATCTACTTTAGCTATCTTCTATTAAAATATTCTTATATTTTAACTACCTTCTTTCCAATTTAAAAAAAAAAAACACTAACTTCTTTCAAATTATTATTTTTTTCATTCTTGTAAATATAATTATATTTTTGTGAAAGTTACATTTTTCTTCTGTCGTATTTTTCAAATGGTCATATTTTTCCAACGGTCATATTTTTTCAAATTTTTACAACGGTTATTTTTTCCAACGGTTATATTTTTACAACGGGCATATTTTTTCAAATTTTTACAACGGTCATATTTTTATACTTTTCCATTATAAATAAGACATTCCCTATCATTTGATCTTACCCTCAACTCAATTTTCTACTTTATCCAAACTTTCATATCTCTCTCTATGGCTTCCAATTCTCTTTATGATATGCTTGTAAATGACTTTGACTTCTCTGAATCTGATGATGATTTGGAGATGCTCAAAGCTGTTACTATGGATGAAGAACTACTAAATAGTGAGATAGAATCAAGCTCACGTCATGGTTCTGTTCGAGGTCGTAAAGTCATTCATCGTGATCATATTCAAGGTCATGAAAGGCTTTTTCTCGACTATTTTGCTAGATCGCCTGTATATCCTCCTGAGCTATTTTGAAGGAGGTTTCGGATGAAGCGTTCACTTTTTCTTCGAATTCAAGCTGCAGTAGAAGCGCGCGATCCATACTTTCTCCAAAAAAGAAATTGTGCTGGAAAGTTTGGTTTGTCTTCTCTTCAGAAGATAATTGTTGCACTTAGGATGCTTGCTTATGGAGTAGCCGCTGATTTTATGGACGAATATGTGAGAATTGGAGAAAGCACTGCAATAGAAAGCTTAAAATATTTTGTTAAAGCAGTTGTTGATATTTTTTCTAATAAGTATTTGAGGTCACCAAACAGCAATGACATCGCTAAACTACTAGCGGTTGGTGAAAGTCGTGGATTTCCTGGAATGCTGGGGAGCATTGATTGTATGCATTGGAAATGAAAAAATTATCCGACTGCGTTGAAAGGTATGTATACTGGTCACATTCATGAACCAACAATTATTTTGGAAGCTGTTGCATCATATGATCTTTGGATTTGGCATGCGTTTTTTGGATTACTTGGGTCTTATAATGATATCAACGTGCTAGAAAGGTCTTTTGCATTTACCGAACTTGCTCAGGGGCGTGCCCCTATAGTCAATTACACCATCAATGGTAATGAATATACAATGGGATACTATCTCGTCGATGGTATATATCCACAATGGTCAATATTTGTGAAAACAATTCCTTCTCCTCAAGGAAATAAGAAAAACTTTTTGCTGCAGCTCAAGAGGCGACAAGAAAAGATGTAGAACGTGCATTCGGAGTGCTTCAAGCACGATTTGCAATTGTGCGTCGACCGGCACGTTTTTGGAATACTAAAATGCTTAAATATATTATGAAGGCATGCATAATTCTACATAATATGATCATTGAGGATGAGCGGGATGACACTGGAGTAAAAGACTTCAATTATGATCAAATCGATGACAGACCCCATGTAACAATGTTACAGGAGAGAACTACTGAACTTATGGAATTCATTCAATGTCATCATAACATTAGAGACAGACAAACACATTCTCATCTCCAATCGGACCTTGTCAAACACTTGTGGCAATTACACAGCGAGTTGTAAAAGCTTTGAATTTGAAGTTTCATTTTATGTAGTATGCTAGCAGTTTTGAATGTAATCAATATATGCTTTTAATTTATGTGTAATTTTATAATTCTATATGCCTTTTAATTATATGGTTATCATTTTAATTCTATATGCCTTTTAATTATATGGTTTTCACTTTAATTATATGCCTTATATATATATATATATATAAAATTAGCAATGTAGAGAAAATACAGCACAAAATAACAGCAAAAATACCAGCAAAATAGTAGCAAAAACACCACAAAAATAGCAACAAAATAGTAGCAAAATCAGTTCAAAAACCATGTAGCAGACCTGTAACAACAAAACAGCCCCAAAACACCATCAAAAGCTAGAAGATTCATATATCATAAAAATGTCAACAAACTGTAGCAAACTTGTGTCTCACATAGCATATCATTCCATTAAATTGTATGGACAGAAACCAATGTTGAGCTTAATAGTCCATACAAAAGCACTAGAGAGCAAGCAAGTTGACAAGGTCCACAAATTTGAAAGAAAGCAATATCTCTCGACGATTCCCTAGCAAAAATGTAAGGTATAACTATTACCTTCGAGACAGTTTAACCAACAGCTACTAAAAGTACTATTATTGACCATAAACAGAGATTTTCTTTTGTAACTCAATCAAGCTAAATTAAGTTTCATCCCAAATTCTTAACTATTTTGCCAAGTTTACATGTATTCTTCTTCAAATTTCCACTCATTCTTGGGCAATATTATATTCCAATTCATAGACTAATCGGTTTTTCTGCACGCACTTAACATTCTTTTAAGTTTAAACCTTCTCCTGCAATTTTAGTACCTCTGATTGTAACCATATTACCTCATCTCCTACTGCAGTCATTACTCCAGTCAACGGATTTATAATGGTCAAACTATTTGATTCTCTCCAGTTAACAAATTTACACTTAGTTCTCAGAATGCTTTCAAGGTTTAACTTTAATCCATCTTTATAAATGTTGAGATTAATTCATGTTAAAAGTTATGTTTCATCAAGCACTATAAATGTTACTTATCAGAAATAACTACTGAAATGTTATTACTGTTATGTGATAGTTTAAAAATACCCTTCAATTTGACCAAATATACACCAGAAACATGAATCTGATTCTTTCATGGCTTCATTCCATTCCAATTTAGGAAACCAAAATTATACTAATACAACCCTTACAGTATAAAATATTTATCTAGCGACTATTCAGAAACTTCAAGTTTCCGATGAACATGGTCCCACAATGGATCAATTTCCAAATATCACAGCAATTTCATATGGATAAGACTTCAACTCACCAAAGATGCAAGAATTCAGAGGACTCCAGCTTACCAAATATGCAAGAATTCAGTGTGAGGCTATTTAAAATATAAATGGACCTGCATTGGCATCCTAAAACTATAAATCTTTTACATATATACATCAATCCATTTCATTATGATTCTGCCCAACCACCAAACTACACCTCAAGCTTAAACACATCACTCTTCTCCAATATCATCTTTGATGATCATTCATCAATGCTCAAAGCTAAACCACAATTAATCAATTAGTACTAGTTGTTGCCCCGTCTCAACCACAACCTACTTTTGGATTCAAAAGCTAAGAACAAGTAACACTCAGTACTTACATTAAACAGCAGCAAAACAACCCAAAAACACCAGCAAAATAGCAACAAAAAAAGATTAGAAAACATGCCAAAAATGACAGCAACACAGCACAAAGAGCAGCAGAACAACACAGCACAAACAGCATCAGATTAGACAACTAACATTGGGTACCAAAACATTGCTGAGTTCAACATCTATCCTAGACAAAAGCAGAACCAAAAGCAAAAGCCAAAATATCATATATCAAGTTTCTAGTCTACTAGGCAAAAGCCAAAATATCATAAAGAGCAAAGAAAGAATGAATACTAATTCATTCTTCTTTTCTCAATGATTTTCATCTACCGAGCACGATAAAATTCTTGTTGGATTTCTGGCAAGCCACTGAGATCCATCAAAATAACTCTTTCGTCCTCTTTGAAAAGTTCTATTTCATGCTTTTCAAGTTCCACCTCATGCTTTTCTTGCGTGATACGAAGTTCCATTTGTTTTTGAACGTACACTTTGTCAATCATTTCAATTTTCTTGTCAATCATTTTCTTTTTGTCTTGCTTGATGTCCTCCAAAGTTTTTGTCATACTTGAATGTACGTTTTCTTTGTTCTTTTGTTTATTCAATCGCTCTTTTTCAGCCTTCCTACCGGTTGGTCTCTCCAAGTCTACAAAAGCATTAGGTGAGACATCGTCTTCCCCTAGATTTATCGAATCCGGAGTACAAGGAGAAGAGTTTGTCCCTGTTCTTGGTCTTTTTGGTTGTTTTTTCTTCTCAGACTCTACCACTTATTTTAGTTGATCCCTTAACATAATCCAACAGTGTTCGAATTGGAATGTAGATTTC